TCTGTAATGGTATTTTAATCTTTCACTGACAGTTTGAAACAAAAAAAAATCCTCCATACAACCTTTAAGTGGAGCTCGGTCCCGGTCCGGTGCCGCTCTGCCAAACACATGCTCCGCTGGCACCTCGACCCGATCCTCTCTGATTCACATGTCGGTTATTTACGAGCTCGTGCCAGGGCCAAGCTCGGATGCCAGGCTTTAAACGGGATCTTTAATAATGCCCCGTGAATTTTAACGGTCCTCGATTTGTTAGTTATGGGCGACGATTAACGTTTTATCTCTGTTTTTGTTGACTTGGTTTACTGCCAGATTAATTCATTCATTTTATCGGCTTTTTTTTTTTTTTTTTGGTTTTCCTTTTGCACATGGCTCGTTTAGAACCACTTTTAGACCTGGTTTAGTCCAAGATTAGACTTTACGACCGGAAGTGGACCATTGTAGGTTTGTGGAACTTGCGGTTAATGGTTTTCTTTGGCAAAATGCGTGTGTAAATGTGTGTTTTATTCTCCAGCAGCTTCATAAATCTGCCCCATCACCAAATCTTCAACCAACAAACTCCACAAAGGATAAACAATCTAACATGAACAATTTATCCACAACTATCAAGACAAGAAAAAACAAAACTTAAAGGAGACAAATGCTGAATCTAAAAACAAGTGAAATGTTGTTGGGGAAACTCTGATAAATGGACTGTACCTTCTTTTAAACTTTTATTGTTTTGTATTTTAAGTCTGTGTTTATATGATGACGGTCTGAATAGAAGACGCAAAAGTGGCGTCGCATCTTCACTTTTTATTCCGCGTTTAGATGAGCGTTTTCAGGAGGAAATGTGCGTGTAATTGGATTCGGTGTACATGCCAGGAGGCTCTGTGGTGATGTTCAGTGGTGATGTTTGTGACGTAAACATGTACACGACCTGAGCAGATCCGACCAGAGTTTTGCACTACAGCGGAGTGTATTCAGCTTTTCCACTCTGGAGGCTGGATTCAGATTTTTGCATTTTTAAGCGCCAAAAACGCCGTCACCGTCTAAAACGAAAGGCACTTTCCATTAGGGCGACCGAACGTCCCCTTTCCCCAGACATGTTCATTTTTCGAGTCCTGTCCTGAGGGTCCAGTTTTTTGTTTTTTTGTTGTTGTTTTTTTTTATAAAGTGATGTAAATGTCCGGGTTTTCATGATCTTTCATTGAGGACATTAAATTGAGCGTCTCTCGTAGTTCTCTGTAACTCAGAAGCAGCGAGACACAAACAGTCGGTCAGTCTGCAACATGCCGAAACACAAATGCACATTTAACGATGACTTGTACAATAAATTCCCGCTTCCCATCCCGGTCGGGACAAGTGTGAGTCCATGTGCGCAGTGAACAAAGCGGCACATATGTCCCAGTGTCCAGCGTGTGTCAGGGACCTCAAAGCATCAGGACACCGAAAAACATTAAAAAGCTTTGTCAGGTGAGAGTTGCTCAATGTCGACGTCGAGGCCCCAACTCCCGCCCCCCGTACGCTGTCCTGGTTTTGACAAACTGACATATGCTCACCCTACTTCCCATAAAATATTTTGTTGTTTTTACCCGCAAGCATTTTCATGTAAACAGGCCTAAGATTTTCTGACTAGTTGAGTCATGGAAGAAAATTTTGTGACAATTTGTAAGATTATACAACCTATTCAAACTAGTAAGTAGATAAATCTGAAAACAAGATGAATAATCTAGGAGTAGCTCAGTTGGTAAAACGTTCGTCCGCTGACCTGAAGGTTGGTGGTTTGAATCCCACAGACCCACAGGTTGGTGTTGTGATTGCACCTCCCACAGATGAACGCTGTCATTATGTCCTTAGGAAAAATACTTAAAGGTTGTATAGAGGATTTTTTAAGGGAAAACAAATACAGCAACAGTCCTTTTTCAAATGTTGTGCATGCGGGACACCACCTTCCTCCTCCACCGCTCCCTCAGTAAAAACACCTCCTCCCGCCTCTTTACTCTAGAAATTACACTTGTTTACAGCCAGACCGTGTTCAAAATGACTGTTGAAGTGACCCGTCTAGAAGAAATTTAGCAACCGACAGGTCAGTTTTTAGACTCTTCGTCAGTTTCATTCGCGCCATCTCTGGAAGAAATCTCCAAGAATCACCTCAGTTTGGCTTTGGTACTTTTCTCCTTCTCTTCTTTTTTTTAACGACCTCAAAAACGGACTTTCTTTCGCGGCGAACTGGTCGTGGATTCTCGTCCGCCATCGCAACAGACTTTGTGTGAAATGCGAGGAAGCTGCAGTTTAAAAAAGTCTCTAAGAACCGCTGCATAAACCACGTAATCCCCGCGCGCCGACGAGTCAGTTACACTAGAACATAGGGAGTTTGATTGACAACCTAACAGCCAATAGAAAATGAGGGAGCCTCGTTTTCTATTGGCTGATGTTTATCTGGCCTCACTACATCCACAATTGATAAGATTTTCTTTTTTTTTTTTTTTTTTTGGTCATCATAATTACAAGTCTGCTGCATCTCTGTAATGGTATTTTAAATTTTCAATGACAATTTGAAACAAAACAACAACAAAAACAAAAAAATCCTCCATACAACCTTTAACAACGACAACGCATTAGTGAAACACTGAACAAAACTAATGTTATGGTTCTAGAGACGTCTCACATTCAAACTGCACAAACCTATCTATACTAATATCGACATCATGATTTTTTTTATTTTATTTTAATTTTAGAATCAGTCTGAGTGAACAAGTTACTAATGTTTTATTCATTACGATAATTGATGTTTTGTTCAGTGTGTCTCTAACGCTCGTCGTTGTTTCCTTTCAGTTTTGCTCTTTCTTCTCTTGATCGTTGTGGATAAATTGTTCATGTTAGAATGTTTATCCTTTGTGGAGTTTGTTGGTTGAAGATTTGGTGATGGGGCAGATTTATGAAGCTGGTGTTCAGATCTTTTCTTTGCTGATACTTCTAAAAATGTTTGAGAATATGTCATACTTCCAGATGGGAGCAAGAGCCAGATTTCTCTATTAATTATATTTAATTTTGACTTAAAATATCCAAAAGACAAAACCACAAATGTTGAACCTGATGATTTTTATTAGTGACTAGACACAACTTTCTATATGAATTTTAACTCACGATGGCGAGAAGAAAATTCAGTTTGTCGACTGAACAAAAGTTAAGTTTGGTTGAAGATGTTTCTTAGTTCATCCAAGCCTCTTCTTCAGTTCTGGTCAGACGCTGGTGGACACTTCCTTATATCTGTCTGCAGGGAGGAGCTAACTACACTGAAACTACTCTGAAACTAACACACACACTTGTTTACAGTTTCTATGTGTTAGTTCGGCCTATTGACCTGTACAGGGTGTGGAGTCTAATTAACAGAACAATTCAGGCCATAATGGAGCTTCCACGCCTCTGGACCTGACCTGACTCCACCTGTGGTTCTCTTGTTTGTTTTGATTTAGGTTTGAGGATGGAGTTGTAAATAGGAGATCGATGGTATCTAAGTCCATTTCTGTTTAGAGAAGGATTTTCTTTCTTAACAAAAATTACTTCTTTCAGATCTGTTCCTCACTGTCCTCAAGTGAGTGTCCCGTGGGTTTTCAGTGGAGATGAACAGCAGACTGAGGTCCTGTGTTGCTCTCTCGTCTGTGTTGGTTCATCCTCTTGGGAAGTAGCTGAATGGAGGAGACCACATTGCTTTGTTTGTGGCTCGGGGTTTTGTCCTTTGGGTTGGACCAGTTTCTGTCTTAAGGGCCGTTCACACCAAGGCGTCAAAGTGTCCAGTTTCAATGTAAAGTCTATGTGGACGCGCGACTAGAGCGTCCTGCGTTTTTGCGGCGCGAATCTGGCGTCAGCGCGGCGCGAATCTGGCGTCAGCGCGGCGCGTCTTCAGCGTTTTGGCGTCAGCGGCCAAGACGTGCGTCCAAGGCGTCAGCGTCAAGAAGTTGAAAATGATGAACTCCTCGCGTCAGACGAGCCGCGTCGACCAATCAGGGACGAGTATCCAGAGACGCAGCGACGTTATTATCAGCAAGCAAGACCCGAGAACCAGAACGAGAACCATAAACACGAGCGGAGAATAAATATATATCACCGAGCCGATCACGAGGACTACACCAGGACCAGACCAGGACTAAACCAGGACTAAACCAGGACTAGACCGGGACTAGACCAAGACTAAACAAGGACTAGACCGGGACTAGACCGTGATTAGACCAGGACTCGACCGGGACTAAACAAGGACTAGACCGGGAGTAGACCGAGACTAGACCGGGACTAGACCGTGATTAGACCAGGACTAGACCGGGACTAGACCGTGATTAGACCAGGACCAGACCGGTATTAGACCAGGACTAGACCGGGACTGATCCAGTGTCATTAGTGGAGTATAAATATAAACTCGCTCCAGTCGTCGACCCGATCTCCTCCGCTGATGTTTTATGTCATAAAAACACTAAAGTCTCTCAGTCTGGTCTGACATTGTTTCGGGAAAAGACCAGGACCGGGCTCTTGTTTCCAGGGCAACGGACGCGCGTCAAGTATTTTTGTCCCGTTCGTCCACGGCGTCAAAGATGCGCGTCGGGGGCGTCTAAACTCAAATGCAAAGGCTCCAAATAGAGACGTCAAGGCGTTTTTTGACGCTTTGGTGTGAACGAACCTTTAGAGTCCGTAGGTTTGAAATAGACCGGGATCTCATGTTGTCTGAAAATCCTCTGTAGTTTTTCAGAAACACCAGACATGTACAGAATAGTTACCCCCTTTCTCCTGGGTTCTGATTCAGTTTTTTTTTAGTTCTCTTGGTTTTGCTGAAGGCCCGTTTTGGATATCCGCAAACAGAGAGGACTTTCTGCACAAGTTTAACTCATGATCTGCATTAAAAGTACATTGTGTAACTTTTCTGGTGGAGGCTCCGTCAAATGCTTTTCTCCGTAGAGACGCGTGGATCGTACCTCCTAATAAAGACAGATAGTGACCTCCTGCTCTTCTGTCCTCTCTTGTTCTTGCAGATGGACCCGGTGCAGAAGGCCGTCCTGAACCACACCCTGAGCCTGAGCTCCAGCCCCAAGAGGCGACACGTGTCCTGCAGCCTGTGCCAGCTGCGCTTCAACTCACAGGTCTCACACACTTACACACGTCACTGTCTTTATGTCACTGTCTGTGTCTGACGATTGTTTAATCTGAGTTTAATTTTAACACAATCTGACCAAAAAGAGCTGGTTTAGAGCTGGTTTAGAGCAGAAGAGGTGATCTGATTTTGTCACAGTCTCTGAACACTCAGACTGATCACAGCTCCTGAAAATGTGCTGTTTAAATCCATGTCATGTCGTTCATTGGTTTTTCAAAATAAAAACAAAAATAAGAAAACAAAAAAACATCTATTTTCTTCATTATTTATGTCTAAAACCAAAATGGAAAAACATTTTTGTGGAAAAAGCCAGGACTGAGTGTCGGGACGGGCCCGGAGGTGCGCCCACGTAGACTGTCGGGTGATCAGGACTGAGACTGGTTTAGTCCTGGTTTATTGATGGTCCAGTCCTGGTTTAGACCTCGTTCAGTCCTGGTTTGGTTCTGGTTTAGACCTGGTTTAGACCTGGTTCAGTTCTGGTTTAGACCTTGTTCAGTCCTGGCTTAGTCCTGGTTTTACGCCTGGTTTAGACTTAGTTTAGTCCCAGTTCAGTCCTGGTTCAGTCCTGGTTTAGACCTGGTTCAGGCCTAGTTTAGTCCTGGTTCAATGTTGGTTTAGTCCTGGTTTAGACCTAGTTTAGACCTAGTTCAGTCCTGGTTTGGTTCTGGTTTAGTTCTGGTTTAGACCTCGTTCAGTCCTGATTTAGACCTAGTTTAGACCTAATTCAGTCCTAGTTTAGTCCTGGTTTAGTCCTGGTTTAGTCCTGGTTCAGTCCTGGTTCATCCTTGTTTAGTCCTGGTTTAGTCCTGGTTTAGACCTGGTTTAGACCTGGTTTACACCTGGTTTAGTCCTGGTTCAGTTCTGGTTTAGACCTTGTTCAGTCCTAGTTTAGTCCTGGTTTTACACCTGGTTTAGACTTAGTTTAGTCCCAGTTCAGTCCTGGTTCAGACCTGGTTTAGTCCTGGTTTAGTCCTGGTTCAGTCTGGCATTGCTTTTATTTTGAAAAAAACAATGAACAAAGCTTCATTTAAACCCATTTTATTTTGCGTTTCTTCTCGAGTTTTCATCTTAAAACCTTTTGAACATCGTTTACCAACATGTGCATCGTGTCTCCGCGGTAACTCCTGAACATTCCACCATTAGACATAAACGTAGAACACCCCCAGCGCGATGTGCTTGTGAAGACGTGTCGAGGCGTCTTGTAATTCTCCGTTCTCGCTGCGTATTTACAAAAACGTTTATCCTTTTGTACAAATAAGGTTGTGTTTGTCAGATTAGAGGAGGTTTGCGGTTCTTTTATGGGTCTCAGTTGTTGTACCAGTGAAAACCGTGAAGCGCGTCCGGACCGTCGCCCTCCGAGCTCGTTCACTCTTCATAATTGTTTACATTTTACAGACTGGAGTTTCACACGGAGGAGCCGGTTCTGCGTTTAAGAGCTCTCGTCCATCTGGTGCGGATTAGAAGAACGTCGTACAGTCAGGTCAAACGTCACGGCTCCACGGAAATTTATGAGTAATTTAGGTAAACAATGGAGCTAGTGAGACGTTTGATTAGGAAACTGTCTGTGCTAATGAGCGTCTACTGTTTTTACTGATGTTTAATTGGTTAAATCTGTGAATCCACTTTTGATTAATCACAGTTTTGGTTAAGTTTTATTGAGATTAAAGGGCCCATCTCGTGCAAAATCAACTTTTTAGAGCGTTCTACCTTCTAAGAGTGATGTGTGGGCCTTGTATTTGTTGCCAAAGTGTTTTTTAGATTGATTCAGCGTTTCTTTTTTAACAAATTGCAGCGTATTTCTGCCACGCTCCCACGTGACAATGAACTAAAGCTGCTACAACGATGACGCGGCAGATTCACCTATGACGAGTTTGACAGGGTGACCATATTTACATTTGTGAAAACCCAGACACCTTATCGGGGGTGGGCGGTGGGGCCTTGACATTGAGCTACAGTCCCTCGATATATTGTGGTTCACCTTTCGTGGTCTTGCTGTTTCGCGGATTTTTTTCTTTTTGGGCAATTTTTCATGTTTTTTTGTTTTTTTTAACAGCGTATTGCCTATTACGATAAATGAGGAAACACTTCACTCTCACTTCGCAACCTGTGCACATGGCCTCTCACTTGTCTCGACCGGGATGGAAAACAGAATTTCTTGTACAAGTAATCATTAAATGTGCATTTGTGCTTGGGCATGTTGCAGACTGACCGACTGACCGACTGACTCCTTCTGAGTCACAGACGCTACGAGAGATGCTCAGTTTAATGCCCCCAATGAACGGAAATGAAAGCCCGGACATTTGCCTCACTTTAAAAAAAAAACAAAAAGAACCTGGACACCCAAGACATTACGCATAAAACGGACATGTCCGGGGAAAAACGGATGTTTGGTCACCCTAGTGTTTGATGTAGCAGAAAATGCTTCACACCTTCACCCCACCTGCAGTGAACATGATATAATAAGTTTATCTACTAGTGTTTATTAATATTTTACCAGTCAGTAATGTTCAGCTGTTGTGGACGCGGTGCTTGAGCTTCGTGCTCCTAAAAGTCCTCGTCCGATTCCGGGTCCAACACATGCGGCTGAACGCGCTGAATCTCCATGATGAATAAAAGTTTATTCCTGCCGCTATCAGGGTCACGCCTGTCTCCCCCTCCCTCCCTGAGATGGCGGAGGAAGGGCGGCTCACTCAGAGACTACGTCACATTTGGAGGGTGGAGCCTGTGCTCTTGGTGTGACCTGGTGCATCCAGAATTTGGCAGAGGTGATTGTAGATCCTTCTCTGTTCACCAATAGTGTCTCTGCAGATTCTTTACATTTGTTGTTTTGCCTCCTGTAAGTTTATTAGAGCTGCAGACGCATGGAAATGATCCACATGTTTGTTTCTGTGTCCCGTATGTTTGTGACGTAAACATGTACACGACCTGAGCACATCTGACCAGAGTTTTGTGTCTTGGGCAGTGTCGACAGAAAAGCTACGGTGGAGCGGATTCAGCTTTTCCACTCTGGAGGTGGTTTCAGATTTTTGCCGTCACCGTCTAAAAGAAAGACACTTCCCATAAAATATTTGGTCATTTTTACCTGCAAGTGTTTGTGTGTAAACAGGACTTTAGTTTAAGATTTTCTGACTAGTTGAGTCATGAAAGAAATATTTGTGACAATTTTTAAGATTATACAACTAATTCAGACTAAGTTACAGCTCAGTTTGTAGAGCGTTTGTCCACCGACTCTCAGGTTGGTGGTGTGATTCCAGCTCCTGCAGATGAATACTGTTGTTGTGTCCTTGGGCAAGACACTTAACCCCCCTCGCCCCCAGTGTCTGTGTGTGCACTGGTGTGTGTGTGTGTGTGTGTGTGTGTGTGTGCACTGGTGTGTGTGTGTGTGTGTGTGTGTGTGCTGTGTGTGTGTGTGTGTGTGTGTGTGTGTGTGTGTGTGTGTGTGTGTGTGTGTGTGTGTGTGTGTGTGTGTGTGTGTGTGTGCTGTGTGTGTGTGTGTGTGTGTGTGTGTGTGTGCACTGGTGTGTGTGTGTGTGTTTGTGTGTGTGTGTGTGATGTGTGTGTGTGTTTGTGTGTGTGTGTGTGTCTGTGTGTGAGTGTGTGTGTGTGAGTAGTTTCTTGATGTAAAACACTTCGAGAGTCTTGAAGTATAAAAATGTGACAATTTACAATTTAAATGTATAAACACACATTTGTAATTCAGATTTGATGAAACGATCGACTCGTCTCAACACACACTCCCCCGACACACACACACACACACACACACACACACACACACACACACAGACACACACACACACACACACACACACACACACACACACACATCACACACGACACACAGACACACACACACTCCCCCGACACACAGAAACAACTGAGCGACACAAACACACGAGTGCACACGGACACACACACACACATCACACGGACACACACACATTGGACACTGAGACACACACATGTCGGACACACACACATCGAACACGGACACACACGCATTGGACACACACACACACACATTAGACACACATGGACACACACACATCAAACACAGACACACACACACATTGGACACACACACACATTGGACACACACACACACACACACACATACACATTGGACACACACACACACACACACACACACATACACATTGGACACACACACGCATTGGACACAAACACACACATATCACACATCACACATGGATACACACACATCACACATGGATACACACACGCATTGAACACACACACATTAGACACACACACGGACACACACACACTGGACACACACATTAGACACACACACCGGACACACACACACACACACACGGACACACACACACACACACACACACACATTGGACACACACACACACACACACATTGGACACACACACACACGACACACACACATCGGACACACACACACTGGACACACACACACACACACACACACACTGGACACACACATCGGACACACACACACACACACTGGACACACACACACACGGACACACACACACACACACACTGGACACACACATTGGACACACACACACACAGGACACACACACACACTGGACACACACATCTGACACACACACACACTGGACACACACATCGGACACACACACACACACACACACTGGACACACACACACACACACACACACACTGGACACACACATCGGACACACACACATCACCATCTACTGTAAAGGACTCGTCGTCTTTCTCTTCATTCGCTGCGTTATATTTCAGACTCTCTGTGACCTTCATCCAGAGTTGGAGACTTGCAGTTCATGACTTGGACTTGAGTCAGACTTGAGTCGCTATTATTAGGACTTGAGACTTGACTTGATGAAATGGACTAAGACTTGGGACTCGACTTGGACTTGAAGGTCAGTGACTTGGAACTTGAATCGGACTTGACGCTTCTCCTACAAAACTGTTTTTAGTAAATACTTTTCTCTTTACAAC